AAGTTAACTATAACCGAATAAAAGGAGCCGGCCAAGAGGCCACCTTAACACCAAAAAAAAAAAAAAAAAAAAAAAAATTTTTAAATAAGTTTTATAAAATTTATATAAATAAAATTTTTTTAAAAAAAAGCTGGCTGGCCAGATCTGTTTAAAAGTTTCATGTTATGAAAACCAAAATATTAAATTTATGTAGTCTAAGTATTAATTTTTACAAATAAATCACCAAACTTATAATAATGAAAATTGTTATTTTTTATATAAATTATAAAATTATATTAAAAACAAGTATAAAATTAATATTTAAAAAATTTAAATTTATTAAGAAATTTTAAAATATTTTTTTATTAAAATTTTTTTTAAATTATGTATTTTAGATATATAATTAAGAGTGTTGCTAATTTTCACCTTAGGTGATGTCACTTGGTTGTATAAAGACCAATCAAATTGTCAGATCTTGTGTAATAAAAACAAAGCAAAGAAAAAAAAAAATCAAAAATTCTTAATAACTCAAAATTGTATTAAGAAAACTATACTTTGACTTCTAAGCAAAAATTTTCAGTATCAAATTTTATATATATTTAAATTCTTTTATTTTTAACCTAAGTTAACCCTAACCCTACCTCTAAATTTATTTAATTTTTAACAACAAAATTTTATAATACTGAGTAATATCACCCCAGGTGAAAATTAATTATTCTCTATAATTAATTATAATTTTTTTCATATAATTAAATACAAATATTACAAAAATATAAACCTTATTTTCACATATTATACATATTATTATATTAAATTTTATTTAAATATTTTAAATATTTAAAAAAATAAATCAAAGATATATTTATAGTAACAATTGCAAGCAAATTTGCCTACAACCATTTAAGGATAAATTTTAATTTATAATAATAATTTTTAATATATTGATCCTGAAAGTTATTGTCCAATACGTATCTGATTAAATTTAATAAAAAAAGTAATATTTTTAAGCTTAACAATCTCTTAATATATATAAATATAATAACCTTTATTAATCTAATTAGTATATAGTTTAATAACAAGACAAGATAAATAATAAATTACTTAATTGAAAAGAATCATCAAATATCAATAAGTATAATACATGCTCATGGTGGATATGGACAGTATAAAAGCCAAACACTAACTACAAAACAAAGTATATAATATACACTCTACAAAGATTCTATGCTTAATATGTTGTAAAACTTAGTCAGTATTGCATTATAATTTTCTAATGAATATGAGTAAGTCATCTATTATTTTAGTACGTGAAATTAAATTTTCATTAAAAACAATATTAATATCTCATAAATAGCCAGTCTTATTCAATGTTCAGGCTGAGCCGAACAGGACCAACAAAACGCAAAATGTATTATCTTCTACTTTAAAAAAGATATTTTTACTAATTATACTATCATTGTGGACAATAGAGAGAGGTATCATACTTGTGTTAAATATTTTGAGTTTTTCATTGAATGGTTCTCAAATATACAATCCAATTCTACTTGCAGTAATGAAGAAAATGATAATCAAACAGCCACACGAATGCTTTATCTAGCACAAGCACAACAAAAATTGTTTAAGGTAATACATTATTGCCTTACCTCTTATGAGTACCGATTTCACAAATATCACAATACTATGCATGGCCAAACGATCAGATTTTACCAGCTTGTAAGTTATGCGATAACTGCCTAAGACGTGAAGAAGATAATGCAGAACGAGTAGATTCACAATTAGAAATTCAAAACATGTTGCATGTTGTAGAGGAATTATGTAAGAGTAATGATAAAACAACCACCCCCTCAGATGTAGTAGATGTCTTTGTTTGCTCAAACAATGTACGACTTTGAAGTAGAGGGTTAAATTTACCAGATATTAATAGCCACTCTAAACCAAACATATTACATACAAAAGCATTAGCCGAATTAGCACTATATGATTTAGTTTGTCATGATTTTATTAAACAAACCATTTTACTAGAAAGAAAAAATAATACAGTATACTTAACATGCAGTATAATAATAGAAGGGGTGGCAGAAAATGAAAATTCACTTGTTCAGACAGAAACTTGGTTCTATTAGAAAAAAAGATAGAAAGCTTTCTTTATTCTATATACATACGTACCTTTTAAAATAAAACTTATATTACGTGTTATATTGGTGCTTAGTATACTCATTTTAGAAAAAAACGTTGGCTTATAATTTACACGGAAAGTTCTAGATTTAAATGCAGGTGTTTTATTATATTCTATTATGTTCTATTATGTTCTATTTCACGTTGGTGATACAAAAAAAATTTGCAAACCGATTTTATATGAAATTTGACGATCCTATACTCTACCCTTAAATTAAGCTTATATCAGTTAAATAACTCACGTAAGTCTACCTGTTAAAAACCTCTACACAGAACCGAAAATTCAACAAATTAGTCTAAAATCAAATAGAATACACATCTGATGATGTAATATCGCATATTTCATATGGAAAATATTTAAATCTTAAAGGTGAGGTCATGCCTCTAACTTATATTTCATATGGAAATACGTATAAATGTCTCAAAACAAATAAAACAAACAAATTAGCGATGTTTTCCTGCTTGCCCGAACTCTGTTCGACCCCGTTTGAGACCCAAACTGGTTAAACTCGAGTTTCTGCAATCATGTGATTATTATTATTTTTTTTATTGTTATTTAAACTCCGTATGCTCAAATCGAGTTTGAATCGATTAGATGAGCAAAATGCTTGATTTAACTTTAGACTTACTACCATCATTGACGAAACGCTCCTCTCGATTGGTTAGTTATTATGGCATTACGTTGTTGATTTGACGAAAATTAGACTTTTTTTCTTTTTTTTTTTTTTTTTAAACATAAATAAGCGTTTTTTTTGTTTTTTTTTACATATTTTTATTTCGTAAAATGGATAAAGAAAGCGCACTTGATTAATTTATTAACCTCATTGAACTTACCCCTTCGGCTTCTCAAGATAAACTTGAATCGAAGCATTTTCGGAAATAATCTACCACCCTTCAAAACGAATAAAATCGGATCCCTTTTTGGATGAAAATAAAACCACCGACCTTCCACTATTAAGTCGGTTTCTAAAGCCAAAAATATGATTAATCCAATTTGTAATCGATTATCTGAAGAAAATGCTTCTGTAAGCCTTTGCTTAAAAACATGATATGAATCAGGTAAAATTAGATATTACGTACGTACAGTACGTATTGTGTAGGTCAATAAATAAGTAATAGTACAGTAATAGGTGTAACAATTATTGTAAATGCATAATACGTATGTATATTTTACAAATGTAAAATTCATATACGTATTTTTACTTTTAAATAGCGATAAAAAAGCAGGTTTTATTAACTTGTTTAAGCAAGCACAATTATTAGTATATATTTGTATAAACTGAGGTCGATAACCAGTTTCACGTAAATGGTTTGAAACAGTGTTCCAACGAGTTTTTAAACATAAATTAACCAGTTGGAACAGTAAAACAAATGGCTATATCATCGCTTATCGAAAATATCGATTTATTAAATTTGTTCGTCCTTGTGAGTTTTGGAATAGTAACATATGTGGCACAATTCTATATCAGCTATTTCACAAGAAAAAATCCACTTCCTGGACCTGTACCATGGCCAATTATAGGTGTGTGGGAAAACGATATGGCGATGGCCAATAAATTTCAAGAAAAATATGGAGATATCTGGGAAGTTTGGAAGTGGTCCGAAAGGCATGTATGGATAGGTCGTGCGGACTTGGTTACGAAACTACTTAATCCATCTTATTCAAACAATAACTTTCCCTCTCGTACAACTGAAAATGAAGGCCTTGATTTAATGGATATGACATCGAAAGGGGTGGTGTTTAATCTTGATTGGAACAGTTGGAAGTTTAACCGAAAATGCATAAATCGAATTTTGATGTCACCAAAATATCTAAGGAAATCAGTAGTGTGCACTCAAAATCTTTTCACAGAAATGGAAAAGTGTTGGTTATCCCTTGGACTTGATAACGAAATAGATCTTGCACAATGGATGATACGATTTATGATAGATTCTACTCTTATCATGACGACAAATAAGAATTTTCACGCTATGGCTAACTATTATGATACATTATCTACTTCGGAATGTTTGAATCATCCTTTGAAAGATTCTGAGAGGTTTGTTGAAGCTATTAGAACACATTTTATGGCATGTGTATTCTTTAAAGATACACCAAAATACAAGCGAAGATTCTTTCCAAATGTAAGATGTCAAGCCAAAAAATTACTTGAAGAGGTTACTTGGTTAAACGGAGAGGCTCTTAAGATTATTAGAGAGAGAAAACAGGAAATCGATAGAACTTCATTGGAAGATGAATTGTCTTCAGATATGTT